CATTTCTTTTTTGTGTCTTCATTGCTTCAGTTCCACCAGCACAATGTTTTCGGTGTCTCAACAAGCCTTGCTGATGGTTCTGGTGTGTGCGTGTGCCGACTCAAAYCTGATGAACRGTAAGAAAACTTAAGTCATTTTCTAATGAAAAAAACACACTTTTAATATGTATGATCATTCTGTGTGAATATATGATGGGATATGATTTATGACATATTTTATTGTGTAAAAGTAAAAGAGCAGAAACGATTAGTTGATACACATTTAAGTCAACATGAATTAAAGAATGAATGAATGAAAGAGACAGCTCAACTGTTTCAATAGGAACAATGATTAAAGTGGCATCTGCCAGAAAAACCTGAAGAGTAAATCTTCCTCAGAGAGAATGTGGGGTCAGGGTCATTGCAAATGAATACAATTGTGGGGATCACCTTCATCCTATGAGGAGAATGTTTCGATCTTTGATTGAAAAATGTCCTCATAGGATAAGGTGATCCCCTTATCAAAATCAAATTCGACTGTGTTGTCATCACCAAACAATGTGCTGAAAACACAGACAAGTTCCTGATTAGTGCTGCAACTATAATCATCTGATATTTTTTTTAAACTGTTGAAACCAAGGAATTTAAAAGGTTGATTGATTATCAAAGTATCTTTTTCCTGCTTTTTTACTAATCAATTTATCTGTTTATTCAGCTCTAACCTTGTGTCGTGATAATAGGCTATTTAGTGTGAATTACTAAGGAACCATTCCACAAGTTGCAGCTTGTTTGTTAAGTTTCCACATCAGCTCAAAGATCAACTCAGTTTCACTTCCACCACCACCAACAATATATGTGAAATAGAATAATTATAACCAGTAAAAAGGTATTTTCATAAAAACGTAACTTATATAAGCACCACTTACCCCTTTTTTGAAGTGTGCCACTTATGAACAGAACAAAAATGAGCAGAAATAAAAGCTTCCTCATCTTTTCTTGTTGTGGAACAGCGCTCAGCTCAAATTTCACAAAGATCTCTTCTCTCTGGTGTTTGTTGTTTCCTCAGCTCCACATTTCAATGCTGCTCAGTTTCACCCCCGTCTGCTGCCTTAGAAAACACCTCCCCGAGTGAGGATGAGCAGGAAAAATGCAAACATGACATCTTTCCCACTTTCAAAAACATGTGTGGGTTCAATTTACTTTCTTTTTAACGTCATAGGACGATCCACAATCAGCCAGAACAACAATTTTTAGTTTTTCTTTGCTTTATATCTTTCTAAGCAAAGCTTTTAGACTAATTATTTGAGCATTTCATGGACCAACACATTTNCTTAAGTCATTTTCTAATGAAAAAAACACACTTTTAATATGTATGATCATTCTGTGTGAATATATGATGGGATATGATTTATGACATATTATATTGTGTAAAAATAAAAGAGCAGAACCGATTAGTTGATACACATTTAAGTCAACATGAATGAATCAATGAATGAATGAATGATGGAGAGTGTTTCCACTGTATGGTACAAAGGATATGTGAGGTGTTTGAAAATGCTGATGRGTTCAAGGCAGGAGGAAAAGATGTGAGCGACTTTGACAGAGGGTTCACTGATGGGACATGGATATCAGGAGCTGAAGTCACAGAGACAGCTCAACTGTTTCAATAGGAACAAWGATTAAAGTGGCATCTGCCAGAAAAACCTGAAGAGAATGTTTGGATCTTTGATTGAAACATTTCCTCATTGGATGAAGAAATGATTATATGACGATCCACAATGAGCCAGAACAACAATTTTTAGTTTTTATTTGCTTTCTAAGCAAAGCTTTTAGACTAATTATTTGAGCATTTCATGGACCAACACATTTTAAATTTAGAAAATAGTGAAGTAATTGCTCATTATTTTCCTTTTATCAATTAAATACAATCAAGTAGCAACAACTTGTTATTAAATGTTTAAAAAAATGCCAAACAAAATTTTCAATGTCCCAAATTGACATGACGTGAAATGTCTTTGTCGGTTATTCAGATTACAGTACAGTAAATTCTCGGCATTTWAAAAAAATATAATCAATGAATTGAATCGAAATCAAACTAGTTGCCAAAGCTGATTATCAATTGACAAAGTAAATAACCAATAGTTTCAGTTCTAGAAAAGTGATATGCATGAAAAAGATCTTTTTCATCTTCCTTGATGAAACAAAATTTCTCTACATCTTGGATTCCCTGACTCTTTTTCTCTTTCTCTCTCTCTCTCTCCAGCGACAGATGTTTTAGTAAAAACATATATATTTACAGGAACTGAATATAAACCAAAGACATTATTGATTGAATATACTGATTATTATCCTGGAACCAGCATCAACAGTCTAGAGCTGGGTAATATAACCAGAAACAAGACGGTGAAACTCTCAGAAGAAGCGCAGTTGTTTCTCAGAGGCTCTGTGTCCACCATCCTCATCCCTTCCTTCTACACACTGGTCTGCCTCATCAGCGTGCCGATCAACATCTGTGCAGTGGTGGCCTTCACTCTGAAGATCAAACCCAAGAAGCCGGCAGCCATCTACATGTTGAATCTGGCCTGTGCCGATCTGCTCTTCGCCGTGCTGCTGCCCTTCAAGATCTCCTACCACTTTGGCGGCAACAACTGGATATTCGGCCCGCTCATGTGCCGCRTGGTCACCGCAGCCTTCTACTGGAACATGTATTGCTCTGTTCTGCTCATAGCCTGCATCAGTGTGGACCGTCTCCTTGCTGTAGTCTATCCTATTGACTCTCTGTCTTGGAGGACGCCAGGAAAGGCAATCATGGCCTGCGTAGCCATGTGGATATTATCCTTCGCTGGCACTGTGCCCCTTGTCCTCCCCGACCAGACTTTTCACCTCAGTCAGCTGAACATCACCACCTGCCACGACRTCCAGCCTCTGGACAAGKTAATCTGGTACTACAAGTTCTACTTCATCGCCCTGTGCTGCGCCTTCTTCTTCCTGCCTCTGCTCATCACAGTGGTGTCCTACACCCGTGTGATCTGGGCACTGAGCAGAGTCCCGTGCGGCGTTGTAGGAAGTTCACGCAGGAGAGCAAGAGCAGTGGTGATGGCTGGAACAGTGCTGGTGATATTTGTGCTGTGTTTCACRCCCACAAACTGTCTACTGATGGCACACTATCTGCAGTTTAATGGAGGTGCTGAGAAGATCCCAGACAGCACTGATGGCTCCTACGTAGCTTATCTAGTGTTTATGTGTTTGGGGAGTCTGAACTGCCTCCTGGATCCCCTGGTCTACTACTTTGGCTCATCCCAGTGCCAGAAACAACTATCCAGCACGCTGAGGTGTGAGAAGATTTTGGAGGGCTGTAGTGGACATTCCTTTTCTGGCTTCAGTAGTCACTGAACTGGTATAAGAACAAGCAGATCATGTGACCTGYAGGTTGACTTCCACTCAGTCTTCATACCATAAAAACTCAATTTCGGAGTCGAAACAAAAACCAGGGTTTCTTCCAAACCACATGCTTTCAATCAGAAAAAAGAGAGATGATATATGACCAACACTGCAGACTATACTGCAAGTAGTAATGTTATCCTGTRTTTAACTCTTATAATTTTGTTWTAATCTACATTTGTGTGATACACCTTCTGCTTTACACACATTTATATATAACAGAATATAACCTTGCCATATTAGTAGAGCTACAHGATTTGGTGAAAAAGTCATATTGCAATTATGGTGATTGTAAAAGTGATGTAATAAACAAATGGTGTTTTGAGTATGAGTGCTTGCTGATCAATAAAAATACAAAGATTACTGAGCATTTGCTTTTGTATATTTCTTCAACACGCTTCTCTTAAACTTGAACATTCATTGTAAACTTGTRAAAGRAATATAAAAAATAACAGAAACCTAAACACAGACCCCTCCCATAGGGGTGTGGTCTGCTTAAAGTAAGGATCTGATCAGGCCTGATTGATGAGAATGATAAACTAAATAATCTAAACAATGTCATTGGTGTGTACTAGAAAAAGGGGAGCCAGATAATATCTGCTTCAGAAGAAAAGTTTCAGGTTTCTGATGTGCATACACATGCATCTGTGTTTGTGTGTGTGTGTATGTGTGTATGTGTGTGTGTAGTGTCAAACACTTTAATAAACCTTCCATTGTTATCACCTTTGCTTTTGTCCCATGGTGACATGATAATGACATCATCATTTGTATTCTTTTAAAGCATCATAATCTGSTGACTGCTTATTGCACATCACGCTTCCACAACATTGAGACAACATTAAAACAAATAAAAGTTGAAGAAAAGAAAGAAGAGGGGCAAACTTGTTTGTGTCATCAGAAAAAACTACAGCTTCCAGGAGAGAAACACTCCTGTGTCGAACTGTCGCACACAAAAACATTATTACACATATTGTCTATGCACAAATGCAGGAAGTGTTTTGATCCTTGACTGACTCACTGTTTGTTTCTTCACATCATGTACAACCAAACTGGACAACTATTTTCAGATCAGTGTTGTTTCCTAAAAGTCACAGACAGTCTTTTCCATACACTCTCAGTGATGTGATACCCCATGTAGGATTTAAGGAACTCAAAGACAAAGATCTRAAACAAGTGATGCTTCATCTTTACATTTGCTGCTCAGTCCCTTTTCTTCCTATTTGCTTTAAAGGTCCAGTGTGTAAGATTCAGGTGAAAGGGATCTATTGGCAGAAGTTTAATGTAGAATAATCCTCATGATGTTTTCAGTAATTCGTTTCATCTAAATTGTATGAATTTAAATATATTTTACATTGAGGGGGTCCTCTCTACTGAGGCCACCATTTTTACATTAGTCTAGACTGGAAAAACTGAACACCTTTTGAGTTTTTATGACAACTGAAGTTCACCACAGGTTCTCTTTCACTTTTGGAAGGGCAGGGTGAGGTGAGGGGTGTTCAGCTGCAACATGCAATTTCAACACTAGATATCACTAAATTCTACACACTGAACCTTTAAAAGGTTTTGAGCGTATCACTTGAAATACGTATATCAGCTCATGACTCCAATGGGTCATTAATCGGCCTGTCCCTTGCCACTTTTATTTCTCGAGTTATCATTTGGTCCATCCTCTCTGTAACCTGTGTTGTGTGGACAAGCTCAGTTCTGCACCTGACTCAGAATCTCGTAACTTCAGGCATTGGTGTGTTAGCAAAGAGAGTCTAAAACCTCATGGGTGCTAATGCCTGTAGCACAATCAGGAATCATTTCAAAGTGACACAAATACAATGCATTAGCGGCTTTGCTGGAGTTGTTGAGTAAAGTTTATAGGAACAACACATCAGAGGTCTGTCTGTGTTTGTTTGTTGTGAATCAGATTACACAAAAACAACTGGATGGATTTACATGATTTAAGTTTCTGGATGTTAGTGAAAAAAATCTGCAGGTTTAAGGGAGTGAAATGTAAGTGTGTGCTATTTAGGACAGCTTGACTGAATTTAAGGAGACGGTTGGGTCTTGGCAGAGGTATACCAATACTCGTTAATCTTTCTGATTACATTTGCATACAAAAGCCCTTGTTTTTAATGTTTTATCTTTGTAGTCTGACTTTTATTGTGTCAGTATTTTAGAGACAACCAGGAAACAGCTCAGGCTCTGGGTTATACATCCACCTTGGTATAGTAAGATCCATGCTGCCTCCTACTGATGATAAATGTGCTACACTGAATGTGTTCTAGTAAAGCTGTAATTTGACACCACTGTAAAGGTAGTTTTCTACAGCAGATGGCACATAATTGGAAATAATGAATTATATGACACCAGACACATATACACATAGATTGGTGTTGTGCAGAGGTGAGAGTCATGTGAGGGTGTAAAGTAACTACTACTCATTTATGTTTAATTCATTTGTTTTACTATGTAAATTGTGTTCAGTGTAAGAAATGGCAGAAAATCAAGTTTCAGACAGCTGTTTGACAGCAGATAAAGTTGGTATGTATATCTCGACACACAGTGAGGGGAGTAATTAAGTACAATTACTCAAATACACTACTGAGAATGATTAAACAATAAGTATCTAAGATTTTTTCTGCTTTATATCTCCAGGTAAATATGTCAAAGGAGCAGACTTTTATTGAACAACGATGTATAATCCACAATTTGAAGAAAAAGGTGTTTAGTAGGAAAGAGATGAAGAAACAGAATGTGTTGTTTGAAGTTCAGGGAACAACAGGGTTGATGATTTGAGTGTTCAGGGTTGCATGAGGCTGGGTGAGGGAGGGGAATATGAAGCACTGAATATTGGGGTAGTGGCACCAGCTTTCACTCTGCCCCTGCTGACTCCATATTGTAACCTTCTTATGTTCTTCTTCTTGGTCATAGATGAACAAATGCTGTCAGGGGATTCTGAGGCGCCACAGAGCAACATAGTGTGCAGCGGCACCAACTGCTACCTCATCACTGAAGTGTGCAGAGAGGGGGCCTTTGGCAAAGTTGTCAAGGCTGTAAACATGGACACATCCCAAGAAGTGGCCCTCAAGATCCTCAAACTTGAGCGTGCTTCTCCAAGAGAGGTATGTAAGCTTGTTAATTTTGAAGTTTTGTTTCACATTGTCTTACTCCTAACTTGTTTATTAAAAAAACACTGAGACCCTGCTGTGTCACCTACACCTCCTATATCCTGTTTCCTCATACCTCCACAGATGAGGATGCATAAGGCAGTGAGCACACTTGACCCTGTCAATAACAACGTGGTCAACTTCATGGAGCATATCTTTAGATCTGTAACTAACATTTGACATTGTTTCTGCAGTTGCTGACAGCTTCTGACGCACTGAAGAGCCGGGGGGGGGCACACAGACCTCAAACTAGACAATGTGTTGCTGGTAAACCAGAGAGTGAGCCATTCGGGGTGAAACTCATCGATTTTGGTGGGTCCTTCATGACCTCAGAGAACACGCGTGGCAAGAAAACCCAGCCCGAAGGATTCAGGTGTGCCAACCTCATTATGTGCACTTGTCTGTTTGTGTTGTAAATGATCCAGCAGAAATTGTCTTCAGCAAAAATGATGAATTTGACTTTGTATTTATTATACATACTACATCATGAAGCTGCGATGCGGGCCTGGGACCAGCCTTACTGAGCCGTTCCCCCCTTAGCATAGCAGCTGTAGAGGAACATACTACGTAGCGAAGCTGCTATGTGTGGGCCTAGGACCAGCCTCAGTAAGGTGTTCCCCATAGCTCTGCAGACATCCATAGTTATGCTGCTATAGGCCTTCACTGCTGGGGGATCACAAATCAGGCACCAGAAACCAGCACCTTCTCTCTTCTTCACTCCCTGCCTTGTTTATTTTGTTGTATCTTATTACATATCTCTAATTCCTTGGGTCTTCTCCTCCCCTCCTTGGTCCATACTGTGCAGCTCTCCGGAGCCCGTCCTGGCTCTGGTCCTGATGAGGCATGGACCTACTGGAGGTCGCTGGTCTGTCACAGGGCTGRCATGGAGGGTCACGCAACCACCAGCACTCTCACCTGAGGACCTCTCACCTTTGGAGCCATGGGTCCACCTACTGTGAATGTTGGATGATGAGGGAGGCAGGAGTGCCCGGGGGGACCAACGCGCCCTTGGAAGACCATGCCAACGTCCACGTGGAGATTCCTGGGCTGAATTCAAGCCCATGACCTGAGACTGGGACCCCCTCCCTGTATTTCCTTTTTTTTTGCCCTATATTATTTTTCTTTCTCCACTCACCCCAACCGGTCCTGGCACAGCCCATAGGATACAGGTAGGATCAATGAGCCAACTTCATTGTGTGTACTTGTCTGTTTGTGTTGTAAATAATCCAGCAGAAATTGTCTTCAGCAAACATGATGCATTTCACAATGTATTTATGTTGGTTCTTGTTTTCACACACAGGTCACCTGAAGTCACCCTGGGCCTCCCTGTCTCAGAGGCCATTGATATGTGGGGTCTTGGCTCTGCATGCTCCTTTTCCTCTACCTCGACAACCACCCGTTTTCAGTGGACTGCGAGTACCAGGGAGTAAGTATTCAAATATGTGTAGATTTAAATGCAAAGACT